TGTAAACTCTATAAGCTTTACTATTAGATGCATATCCTAAAAAGACTGCTTCATCACTCCTTTCATCAAATTTTCCAAGATTTCTTTTATCATTATTGTGAACAAAGCATTTGCATCCAAAGGCTCTTAAATGAGCAATATTAGGTTTTCTCCCTTTTAACAGTTCATAAGGGTTCTTGTCCAACATTGGTCTGAGCATGGCTCGGTTGATGATATAACATGCTGTGTTGACAGCTTCTGCCCAAAAATTCCTTGGAAGCCCACTTGCTATTAGCATTGTTCTTGCCATGTCTTCCAATGTTCGGTTCTTCCTCTCAACCACACCATTTTGTTGTGGTGTTCTTGGCTCTGAGAAATTGTGACTTATTCCCTGTTCCCTGCAAAATTCATCAAACTTGGAATTTTCGAATTCCGTACCATGGTCAGTTCTCATATGAATAAGTTGATTACCTATTGATTTTTGTGTCTTTTTCAAGAAAGTCATAAACATATCAAAAGTTTCATCTTTACTATGTACGAATATGACCCATGTAAATCTAGAATAATCATCCACAAGAACTAAGACATATCTTTTTCCACTTCTACTTTGAATTCTAACGGGGCCACACAAATCCATATGAATGAGTTCCAATGGTTTTGTGGTGCTTACCATTTTCTTTGATTTAAACGATGATCGAACATGCTTTCCTTTGATGCAGGCTTCACAAATTTTGTCATTTAGGAACTTGATAGAAGGTAATCCGATTACTAATTCCTTTGACCTTAATTTGTCAAGCAATGAAAGACTAGCATGGCCAAAAGTTTATGCCATAGAAGTGGATCATCCTCAATAACACTTAAACAAGATAGATTGTATTTTGGAACTTTGTTAAGGTCCACGGTATACGTGTTCCCTTTACGAGTTCCTTCCAAAACGATTTTTCCAGTGTTATTGTTGATGATTTTGCATTTTCCAGAAGAAAAGCTTACAGAGTTTCCTTTATCACAGAACTGAGAAATACTGAGTAGATTATGCTTCAAACCCTCGACTAAAAATACATTGTCAATTGCATGGGAACTTGACCTTCCTACTTTGCCAACAACAACAATGTTGCCTTTCTTATTGTCTCCAAAGGTCACCGTTCCCCCTGTATAGGCCGTCAGTGAGAGAAATCTGGATTCATCTCCTGTCATGTGCTTAGAACAACCGTTATCGAGGTACCACTGGTTGTTCCCCCTCACTGCGACCTGCAAAAGAAATTAAGGGTTAGTAGCAGGAACCCTTTCGTTCATGGGTTCCTGTGTTGACATATTTAAATCAGTTTTCTTCTGCCAAACATAGTTCACATTCTTATTGTACTGATTTGCTTTCTTAGTACATTCTTCACTGCGATGTTCCTTTTCACCACAAAAAGAACAAACGGTCTCACTAGGTAAGTTCACATATTTCTTTTTCTTTCCAGTGGACTTCTTCTTATGAACATAGCCTAGACCTTCTGTTCTTTTTTTCTGAGCTTCCTTTACCCACTTGGGAACACCCGTGCTTGCTGTATTTTTACTTTTTCTTGCAATTTCTAGTTCTTTTTCTAGTTTTTCATTTTTATCATTAGTATCCTTTATCTCTTTCTTAACATGCTCTAGTTCATTATTAAACATGATTAAAGGAACTTCAGTAGACCTGCAAGAATCAATGTTAGTACACAACATTTTATATTGAGTCAATTCAATATTCAGTATGATATTCTCACTCTTGACTCTTTCAAGGGATTCTTTTAGCATAATATTTTTATCTAACAATTCAAAGAATCTGCCTTGAACATCATTTCTTAAGCTATTCAGATACTTAACATGATCTTTACAAATTCCAGTTGCCTTTTCAGCTTGCCTTAGTTTTGCACATAATTCTTTATATTCTTCTAAGGTTTCTAACAATAAAGAGATTAATTTATCCTTTGAGAGAGATTTCAAATAACTAGGTTGAATGACTTCCTCATCATCATGCTTTGCCATTAGACAGAGATTGGCTACTTCATCGTCTGTGTGTTCCTGTTCCTCTTCTTCGGAACTTGATTCTCCCCACGTGGAAATCATTGCTTTCCTGAAATTTGTTTTAGAAAAGTTAGGCTTGGAGTTTCTGTTTTGATCAGCTTCTTTTCCCTTGCCTTTCTCAGATTCCCATAATGGACACTCTTTGATGAAATGGTTGGTGCTTCCACATTTGTGACAAGAAGACTTGGCTTTGGATTCCTGATTTCTTTTACTGTATCCTTTCTTCTTGTCTAAAAACTTGTTGTTACGGTAGAATTTTTTCAGCCTTCTCACCAACATTGCAGTTTCTTCTTCATCAATGTCAGACTTCTCTTCGGATTCTTCATTAGCTCTTAGTTCTAGCCCTTGACTTTTGACAGTCTCCTGAGTCCGATTGTTCGACTGGATCTCGTGGGTAATGAGGGAACCCGCAAGCTGTTCTAGATTGAACTTGGTGAAGTCTTTTGATTCCTGCACAGCTGCAACCTTTGCTCTCCATCTGTCATTGTCTGGAAGACTTCTTAAGACCTTTCTGACCTGCTCATCTATAGGAATTATCTTACCAAGACACATTAGTTCGTTAGTAATACTTTTAAATCGAGTAAACATGTCTTTAATGGATTCTTTGTTTCCCATTTCAAAGCGCTCATACTGAGACAAAAGAATGTCTATTTTGGAACGTTTAACATCTGACGTTCCTTCATGTGTAACTTCCAGAAGATCCCAAATTTCCTTTGCGGACTTGCACCCTTTGACACGAGTATGCTCATCGGGTCCAAGTCCCCAAATTAAAAACTTTTTGGCAATAGCATTCATTTCTAGTTTTTCGAAATCAGTTTTTTCATATTCATCCATAGGTTTAGGGATTACCTCATTGTTAGCATTCGTTTTCGTAATTTCGTAATCTCCTACTTGTATAATCCGCCATACCTGATAATTCTCTGCTTGGATAAAGATTTCCATCTTATCCTTCCAATAAGGATAATATTTGCCGTTGAAGTATGGAGGCCTTTCAATGGATGTACTCCCGAATTCCTTTTCCTCTGTGTAAGCCATTTTCCCAGGAACTTACTCAACAGGGTTGCCTGCGTGCTCTGAGTTCCCGCTCTGATACCAACTGAAAGTCTAACTGGCTAATACAAGAGGGGGGTGAATTGTATTTGAGGTGAAATCTAAGAACTTTTGCATAATTTAACTAAATGAAATAATGACGAGAGAAGATATAGGCTTTTCTAAATTTCCACTATGTAATCAAACTCTTTACAAGTGAAGATTCTAACCCGTTAACAAATTCCACAAATTAGGAACTTGTTCCCAACTCTCACAGAAGCATTCAGCAGCGAAGCTTCCTTAACCTCACCTTACACAAACTCACAATCCCAAACCCCAAAGTACTTGAATACAATCTGTGATTACAAATACCTATTGCACTCAAGAATATAAGAAGGATAATAACTCTCTTTATGTTATTAGATGGCTACTGGAATTTTTATGCTCAAGAGTTATGTTTTTCTGAGATAGTTTGCATGAGTATTTATAGAGAAGGCTTAGTCATTAACCTCCACTATAATCACGTCCACATGCCAACACCCCACTAACAACTTGTGGAGTTATCTTGACAGATGGTGATCATGAAGGAGGTTTCCTAGCCTTATCTCACTAATCCACTATCTCAACAACTTGATAAACATTAGCTATAAAAAAACGTATAATCAGAGATTTTCGCTGCTTGCTAACTTTATCAAATATTTGTTTAAAAAGATTATCAAAAGTTTGTTTAAAAAGATTTTATTTGAAAAGATAAATTTATTATTTATATTAAAACAACTAGATAATTATCTTCGATAATTGTCTTTATTCAAAAATAGATGACTAAATAAAACTTTTATAAATTATCATTTCTTTAAGAAATTATCTTTTAAAACTAACTTTTATTCCAGTAGTCTTTTTAATAACATAAGTCATTGAGTTCCTTTCCGACTTTATATTATTGAGTGCTCACAATTAAAACTAGAACGTGAGATTTTCATGAGGCTATTTAGAGAATGCTACTCCGCATCCAAGTTCCTACTCCGGAACGAACTTTGCTTGAACCCTTTATTCACCAAAGACTCAAAACATTCATTAGTCGAGTTTGTCAATTTGTCCATCAAAACCAAAAGGCTCAACAAACTTGTATTTATACTCCGTAATGAACTTAAATAACACAAGAAGAATACGAAGTAAGTCTCATCACCCGACCCTAAAGGCATAAAGCACTTAAATTAATGCACTCAAATGTACTTATAAATTAAAATCTTAATAACAAAAACTTAAAACCAATCCGGAGTAAATAAAAATTTTGCTATTTCTGACCTATTCAATCTTGATTTTTGTGTCTTTCAAACAATGTAAATCCTTAAAAATAAAAAAATAGAAAAAAAAATAGAAAAAAAAAAAGAGAAGGAAAGAGAGAGGCAAGAATGAACCTGTTACTAGTAGGGATGACAATCCAGTCCGAATCCGACCCTACTTTGCCCTGATCCGAGGAAAAAAAATCCGCTCCGAGTTCGAGAAAAAAGTAATCCGAGTCTGACTCCGTTAAAATAATCCGACTCTGAGTCGGAGAAGGGTCAAAGTCGGATCGTACAATAGATCCGAGAAAAAAATTTGACTTCGACAAATGTTCGACTCCGACTAATTATCCAACTCTAGCTCCGATGAATCGTGGATTTGGGTGTGGGTCGTGGTGACAGTGGATGTGGGTGTCGGTTGTAAAGGCCCAAATAGCCAAATTTCTCAAAGTATATTGAATAACCGAAAAAAAACTCGGAGTCGGAGGCCAGATATTGAAGTCGGATCGGAGTTGGAGTCAATTTTAGCCTCCGACTTCCTGTAGGATCGGAGTCGAATTTAGCATAATCCGCTCCGAATCCGACCCGTTGCCATCCCTAGTTACTAGATTACTATTGCTTTTGTCCCTAATTATTTGTCCCATTATAAATAATATCAGAAACTTTGACCATATTTATCAAGAAAAAAATTAATTGACATCAATATGTAAATACTTTGATAATTCATTTATTGAAAACCAAAACCTAGTGCCATTGTGCCAACACAACCTATCAATTATCCAATAAACACAAACACATATCACGTCACCATCACCTTCCAACTTCCAAGTAGTCTCTTTTTATATTCATCATCACTCATTTATCAAGTCTTCCTCATATAAAAACATATGATCTCATCTACTTATTTCCAACTCTTCCTCCCTTTCCAAAAACAAACACCAAATTCTCTCTCTCCTTTCCGATTATCACCTTCATTATCAATTTAATTATATAATTAGTGGTTGTTAATCAATCATTTAATCACATGACCACCTCACAACAATGCTCTTCTTCCCTACTCCTCTCCCTCTTAACCGATGACCTCCTCGCTCACATCCACTCCCTCCTCCTCGACCCCGCCCACCGGAACTCGTTCCGCCTTGTCTGCCGCACCTTCCACCGGATCAACTCACTGAGTCAAACCCACCTCCGCCCTCTCCACCCCTCCATCCTCCTCTCTCTCCTCCCTAAACTCCCCTCCCTACACACCCTCGACCTCTCCTTATGCCCCCGCATCGATGACTCCCTTGCATTCACCATCTCCCCGCTTATACGCGATCGAGTAACAACCCTCTCCCTTAGCCGAGCGTCGGGGCTTACCCCTGTAGGGCTCGAGGCTCTCGCACGATCTTGCGAGAGACTTGAGTCCCTCGACGTGTCATACTTGTGCAAGAGGTTCGGAGATAAAGCGGCCCTCGCAGTGTCATGCGCGAAGGGGTTAAAGGAGTTAAAGTTGGATAAGTGCTTATGCTTCGGCGATGTGGGATTGGCGCACATTGCGGTTGGATGCGCGAGTTTAGAGAGAGTAAGCTTGAAATGGTGCTTAGAGATTACTGATCTTGGGATTGGTCTTCTTGCTACCAAGTGCTCCGGCTTGAAATTCCTTGATTTATCTTCTCTCAAGGTTCGTGCTAATAAAATATTTCATTCATCTTTAGATAATTGTAATAAATCTCACCAAAAAAAATAAAATAAATTGTAATAAAAACCTTAATATGCGTGCTTAATCTAATGTTATTTTGTGTACTTTGTACGTTTTATACAACCTCAAGAGGTACCTCGTACTAGAATTCTAAATATGCGTTAAAACAATAAATGGGTTTGTTTGTTGTGATTAATTTGGTGCAGATTACGAGTCAATCGTTGCATTCGCTTGCAGCATTGCAAAAGTTGGAGAGTTTGGTTATGGTGGGTTGTGGTTTGGTGGATGATTATGGGTTGCATTCGCTTGGTAATGGCTGCCCTTCACTTAAGGTTAGTAAATAAAGTTGGTTAACTATTAGACTTTTTTTTTTTTTTTTTTTTTGTAAACATAGATGAACAACATAGAGACGATAGCAATTAATAGGGTTTGTTTCGAGGGAGAAATGCGTTATATAGTACTCGATCAACCACTTTTGAGAAAATTGGGATTAATATTATATATTGTAGAGGGATGATTTGTTACGCACTTATTGTATATTAGTTTCTATAATAAATTGAAATGTTTCACATGCGTACTCAAAACCAACTGAATTATTTGCAATGATCGAGTACTTCTAAAGTTCTAATTAACATAAGCTCAATTTAAGACATTTAGTAATGTAAAAGGAGAGGTAATCTTTTTTTTTTTTTTTTTTTTGACATCAAAAGCCTAAGGTGTATCACTTGTTTCTTTTTTTTTTTTTTTTTTTTTTTTTTTTTTTTTTAATTTAATTTGTTGGGATTTATGATGCTTTCTCAACAAACCCATGCAATACTTTTTGGTATTTATATAATTTAAAGCTTAGCTTCTATTATCATAGTACTATTGAAATCTCCAAAGGGACGCTAGCTGGTACGTACATTTGACATTTGCCAATGGAGTGTGCAAAATAATGCCACAATTCATGAAAATCACATAAATATATGTTAAGTACAGGGCTTATTTCACTAACATTGTAATAGAGTTAATTATGAGAAAGAGAATGTTGGAAAGCTTAAATTATATTGATGAGTATACAAGATTATATATAGTGCATGAGTAAGCAATAAAATATGACTAGGTAAATTTGTCTAGATACATCAGCTAATAGTTAGGAATATCTTTGACTATCAACCTAAAGAGTAAATTAAGGGATTACACAATTAACACAATAACTAATAATGATTTGATTATCCTTTACACATTGAACTTCAATAGTCCCCTCAATTTGTAGAACTTTGATAATTTACGTACCTTATCTCTTTACTTTAAGAATTATGAATCAAACAAAAGAATGTAAAGTTGACAATAATGTTTAGTCCAATATATTGAAATATTGCAGGCATAATCCAGCTCCAAGTGTTTTCCCTCGAACCAAATACTACCTAAATTCTGATATGATTCTTGTGTATATAACTAGCTAGCAGCTGGTTTCCTATTATTGGTTTGCAATAACAGCATATGATTATATGAATGCTTACCGAGTTTTTCTTTGTGGCGCGGTTATTGTAGGTAGTAGATATGTCAAGGTGTGATGGTATTACTTCTGCTGGATTATGCTCAGTAGCTAAAGGACACCGTCAACTGCAGCAGCTAAATGCAAGCCATTGTATGGTCGTGAGTACTGTCTAAAACTGTGGGAAACCTTTCTCTTACATCTATCTTTCCATATTCAACCTTTTCGATTTTGCTAATGTTTTCTGATCACAAACTCTAATGTTACATTTTTGCAGGATCTCACCTCTGATCTTCTTTGTGCATTGAAGAACTTAAAGTGTCTAACTGTCTTTAAAGCTGATGGAGCTCGTGTTTCTAAAGCTACTATCCTAAGCATTACCAAAAACTGCACTTCTCTTGTCGAAATTGGGTTAAGTAAATGTATTGGTCTTAGAGACATTTACATAAAACAGCTTGTAACAGGATGCTGTAACTTGAGAATCCTTAATCTTTCCTGCTGTGATACTGTTACTGATGACGCGATAGCAGCAATCGCAAACTCGTGCAGAAAACTGCAGTGCCTGAAGTTAGAGTCTTGTGCTTCTGTAACTGAAAAAAATTTTCAACTACTTGGCTCTTCCTGTGTTCTTATTGAAGAGTTAGATCTCACTGATTGCTCTGGCATAAATGACACTGGTATGACTTTTTTTATGTTCTGCTGTTATTTTTTTCACTATGTATTTGCTGTGTGTTTAATTGAAAACAAGAGTATTTTTCTTTTGCAGCTCTTAGTTTCTTATCCCGGTGTTTGGAACTTAAAATCTTAAGACTAGGGCTTTGTGACAACATATCAGAACATGGATTGTTCTACATTGCTTCCAACTGTATGAAGATCCGTGAACTCGACATATACCGGTACACACCTTTACTCTGTAAGGTCATGTTAGTAAAATTCTATTGCGGCCGTGCCTTAAAAAGTGTTGCATATGCAGGTGTCCTAATGTTGGAGACGGAGGAATGGCAGCATTGTCAATTGGATGCAAGAAGTTGAAGAAGCTTAATGTGTCATATTGCAGTAGTTTAACTGATAAAGGGATGGAGTACATCGGTAGACTGGAGGAGTTGAACTCCCTTGAGATGCGCAGCCTAATGAATGTTACCGGTGTTGGATTGCAAGCCATTGCGGTTGGGTGCAAGAAGCTGTCAATGTTGGATTTAAAGCACTGTGAGAACATTCAGGATTCGGGTTTCTGGGCTCTTGCAAACTACTCCAACAATATGCGCGAGGTAATCCTTTGATACACTATACTACGAAGTAATATTTAAAAGCACAAACCCTTTGTGACATATGTCACCCGATATATAATCCAAGACATTGCACGGGTCAATTAACTACTTGTACGTTTTAAAACTTATAAGTCAGTACTTACTTACATACTACAGTATGTATCATTTAATTGTTCATGATGTTAAAATTGTCTCTATGCACCAGTTAAACCTTTGCCATTGTGGCATCTCAGATGCAGCCCTATATATAGTGCTGAGTAAACTTACATGCCTTCAAGATGCCAAGCTGGTTCACCTTCCTAACGTGTCGGCCAGAGGATTCGAGCTAGCCCTTAGGGCCTGTTGCATACAACTAAAAAAGGTCAAGTTGCTTGGCTATCTTAAATCCTCCCTTTCGCATGAGTTAATTCAGTTTCTTTGGTCTAGAGGATGTAAAATTAGATGGGATTAGAAATTTAGAATAAGTATTCTTGATTGATCTGATTTTATTACAATTGCCCTTTACTTTTATTGAACAAAAACTTAGTCCATTGAACTTGTAAAGTATAAATAAATGCGTGCTAGAAATGATCTTTGATCTCCTTAACAAGCGAAGGGTTCGCTTCTTAGCCGCAATTGTAGAGATTCTTGTAGTAATAAGGTGCACTAAATTCTGTAAACTATGTGACCTAAAATGTAACAGTATGTAGTTAAGAAATTTGTGGTTTACAAGTCTTTATTATTATTATTGAAGATGCCGTATGGCTATTCATTAATGAAATTTGTCAAAAAAAAAAAAAAAAAAAAAAAAAAAAAAAAACCATGTAGTAGTTTCCAAAAACTTGTTTGCTGTTTAATTGAAACATTATTTTCACGTTTTTTTCGCTCACCATTTCATAGGCCATACGAAGTACGATATTTGTACATATGGATGAGCTTTGGTATTATAAAATACCCATAAATCTATAACATATACTTTATCCGTGGTACTTATAAGAATAAAAGCAATATTTATCATTTGACATTTGTATAGATAGATGTATAGGAATGATAAAACGAATACAGAGTACATGTGATTACTACGTACTTTAGAGCCTTAATTTCTTATATTGTACTCGTCTTGTTTTGACCTTTACCGTACCATAAAAAAAAAAAAAAAAAGTTTCACAAGTAATAGAAGCTACCGAAAGTTAATCGAAAGATGAACACGAAGCCAATAACAGACCACCATTCCTAATTAGGCAATCAAGGCATCAAGTAAAGCATAAAATTGAGATTAGCTTCAAACTTTCACCTAATACGAATAAACTAAACTTTGGTAGGGGTAAAAGCATAACTTTTTACGATTATCATGACCCCACTCTAATAGTACACTTTCCTTAGTAGGTAAACATTCCATTATTTTTCGTACGATTATTGCATATTTCATAACACAATATTAAGCCTAAACCTCAAATTTTTAAGACCAATTTGCTTTCCTAAACTCATTTGCATGCCCTTAACAAAAAAGTCTAAGATGTTACCATTTCTCATATTACTACTAATTTTGCCTTCCCTTAATGATGCCATCTACGACGGAAAAACCGTCTACAACCAAATCCCTCCCAAAATCCTACAAAATATGATCTCCCAAGCGTGTGCCAACGTTGAGGACGAAGTCAATTGTCTCTCCAACGTCGAATCTAGGCTTCCTAATGGCCCTAGGAACGCTTCTTCGGTCCTTAGGGCCGCCTTAGAGGCTTCTCTTAATGAAGTCCAACAAGCCATAAGAAAGGTTTCTGATTTTAGTTCCCTATCGTCCTCCACTGCTCGTGAGCAGATAGCAGTGGAGGACTGTAAGGAGCTCCTTGACTATTCAGTCACGGAGCTCGCTTGGTCTCTCTCTGAGATGAGGGAGATTAGAGTTAGTGGATCTGTCCATGACCCTAGGGGAGACCTCCAGGCATGGCTAAGTGCCGCGGTTAGCAACCAAGATACTTGCCTCGAAGGGTTCGAGGGTACAAACCAACATACTAGGAACTACATTAAGGGTAGTTTGACACAAGTAACACAACTTATTAGCAATGTTTTGACGTTGTACACTCAACTACACGTCTTACCCTTTAGACCACCTAGACATAAATCACACAATAATGGTTACAACAATAATAACGATACTAGGAAAATTAATGATCAAGATAATTTTCCACAATGGATGACTGAAGGTGATAAGGAACTTATTGTTTCTTCGTCTCCAAGTAAGGGAATGCACGTAGATGCGGTTGTTTCTACGGATGGGAGTGGGAAGTATCGGTCGATTAACGAAGCCATTGATGATGCTCCTAATCATAGTAATAGGAGATATGTTATTTATGTAAAGAAGGGAGTTTATAACGAAAATATTGATATGAAGAAAAAGAAGACTAATATTATGATGATTGGTGATGGTATTGGAAATACTGTTATATCTGGCAATAGAAATTTCATGCAAGGCTGGACCACCTTTCGCAGTGCTACTTTTGGTATGTTTTATATACGAAGTATCTACTATTCATTTTAACTTTTTTTTTTTAAGCCACTATTCATTTTAACTCTTTTTGCAAAAGTTTGTAAGTCATTGTGTGGGAATATAATCCAGCAAAAATGTTACGTGACCCTTAAAAGAAAAGTCACCCCGATCTTATAATAATTTAGCACAAATTTGCCTAACATTTCAAAAGTTTATCGAAAAATTTCATGTTTAATTGGACCAGAAAATACCTATGGTAAATTGATAATGGATTTTCACTAAAAGTTTACATTTACCATGCAGCTGTCTCGGGCAAAGGCTTCATAGCAAAAGACATCACATTTCGAAACACCGCGGGCCCTAAGAACAACCAAGCGGTGGCCCTTCGTGTAGATTCCGACCAATCGGCATTTTACCGGTGTAGTATGGAAGGATACCAAGACACGCTCTATGCACATTCCCTACGTCAATTCTATAGGGATTGTAACATTTATGGTACCATCGACTTTATATTTGGTAATGGAGCTGCGGTGATCCAAAACTGCAACATATATTCTCGGACCCCACTCCCACTCCAAAAGGTCACCATCACGGCCCAAGGTCGAAAAAGCCCACATCAAAGTACGGGCTTTTCGATCCAAAGCAGCTTCATTTACGCGAACCAGCCTGCCTACTTGGGCCGGCCCTGGAAGCCCTTTTCTAGGGTTGTCTATTTGAACACTTATTTGAGTGCTATGATTCAACCTAAGGGTTGGTTGGAGTGGTATGGAAACTATGGTTTGAACACCTTGTACTATGGAGAGTATAGGAATTATGGACCCGGGGCATCGGTAGCGGGCCGGGTCAAATGGCCCGGATTTCACATTCTTAGAGATGCTTCTGAAGCTATGTTCTTTACTGTTGGACAATTTATTGATGGTATGTCTTGGTTGCCAGAAACAGGAGTCAAATTCTCAGCTGGTTTGACTAATTAAATAGATCATTGTAATGGTAATTGGTGAATATATAAGATGTTTATAGTAGTTTGCTAAGATTAATGTAAAAGCTTTTTCTAAGTTATTACTCCGTAACTACATACTACTCCCTGGCTTGTCTCAAATTAAGTATAGTAATGTATAACATTTGATTTTGCATGGAATACGAGGATCATCTTTGACCATTAATATATTTGATTACACGTGAATACAAATTATAATTATGATATTCCAAAAAACTTGTACAACATGAATGGAACCTTGTAGGTGGTTCGTTCACTCCTGACTGTCTCACCTCTATTCCATAGTTCGGGATAGATGGACCTCGTAAAAAATTATGGACACAATTCAAGATTATATATAGATATAAAATCAATTTTCTTTCACATTATTCCTTAAATATGCATAGTTAACGGCATATGTTTAGTATAAAACCCCATTGACATATTTGTTGGAAACATGCAAATCTGATTTAATAATGTACTAGAAAATCAAACGTATGTATGATTAGCTTTCTTGAGACCAAACGTATGAACACTTATTAGTTATGTGTATTTAGCGTACAAGATTGATTAACCACTTATTTTTTAATTTCTTATCATGTCCAAAAGAATTAACGTGTTTAATTAGTGTTCTAGATAGTGCATTAGTGCTAGCTAGTCGTTAAGATTATCATAGTTTTTGGATGATGTATGTATAAGTTGCTCACATCATTTTACTCTATTACGTAAAATCAAACTCAATATATGAAGAACTCCTCATAGATTAATTAATAAAATTTGTTAAAAGGTGTTTTAGTTGTTTTTGTTTCAAGCCTAAGTTCCAACTTACTCAGAAAAAACCTAAAATGACCTTACATACAACCAGAATATATGAAATTTACCAACTAATAAGGCTTTAATTTGAACATAATTTGTTTGAAATTGTATTATATAAACTTATCTAAATTGAATTTATTTTTACTATAACAAAATTTTTATGTACAGAACTTATTTTGTTTAAAATAAAATAGCATATTAACATATATAAGTTTAAACAAAATTCAAAAATAAGTCTAACAACGTTGAGTGATTTATAACTCCTCTATATATGCCCTATGTGTTCCTAGGAAGTAGAAAACATGCAACCTAGCTAATTCCATCAGCTAACTCTAACAAAGTAGCAATGCAATACACTATGCCATTCACTCTATCCAATTTTTTCCAAGTAACCTTGCACATTTTGCTCTTATTTTCTTTCTCCTCTTCTCAAACTCCCTCAGATTTAGATACAACATGTAGCAAAACTCTTTATCCAAGCTTTTGCAAATCAATTCTAGCAGAAAATAACTTGCAAAGTAAAACTATACAAGATTATGGTCATTTTTGCCTTAGCCAATCCTTACTTATGACCAACAACTTCAAGTTATTAGTAAACCAACATCTCCAATCCTCTAACCAAAATAATGTTTCTCAAGTTACTAAATTCGCCCTTCAAGATTGTCGGTCTCTTACTAGTCTTAACATCGATCTCCTTTCTACCACGGCTAATATGATCAAGCCTACCAACAATCTAAGTAGCATGGACATAGTTCACGTCCAAACCATGCTTAGCGCGGCCATGACCAATTTAGACACTTGCTTGGATGGGCTCAAAGAGGCGCGACCACAATCTAGTATGACTCAATCCCTTTCACCTCGAATCTCAAACAACACAATGCTTCTTAGCCTGTCCCTTGCACTTTTTATACAAGGTTGGGTACCGAAAAATAACCCAAATGATTATTTAGCCTTGAAATATGATCAAATTAGAACAAGGGTAGGTAATTTTGGTAATAGTGGGAGTAAATTGCAACATATAGGTGAAATGATGAATATTATTATTGTGAATACTACGGTGGTGGTAAATCCTGATGGAAGTGGAGATTTTACCACTATCAATGATGCAATTACTGCTGCACCAATAAATAGAATGCCAAATACTGGCTATTATGGAATATATGTGGCTACCGGGGTTTATCAAGAGTACATCAATATTCCTAGTAACAAGAAATATTTGTTGATCGTTGGTGATGGTATTAATCAGACTATAATCACTGGTAATCGGAGTGTTGGTGACAATTCGACTACTTACAACTCTGCTACATTTGGTATTTAACTTCTTTTTTTTTTTCTAATTTTGTAACAGTAATAATTATTAGGTACACCTAGGAACATAATGCATGTGTGAGTTAACACGATAATTACTTTAGGCACTTGTTTCTCCTTGAGCTCTTCCCTCGATCTAGATGTGGCAACATCAATTTTGACTTCCGAGTATAAATTTGTCTAGGCTTGATCAAGTAGGACTAAAAATCTCTATTAACCATTTTATATGACGAATTAACTAGGAAGATTATCCAGATAATCTATGTACTAGCAAATTAAATTAGCTCATAAATTTTTGTTCTTTTTACAGCTGTGAATGGCGTAGGATTTGTTGCGACAGACATAACCATCCGCAACATAGCAGGGGCTATAAAGCACCAAGCCGTGGCACTTCGAAACAGTGCTGACCTTTCAGCCTTCTACAGATGCAGCTTCGAAGGGTATCAAGACACATTGTACGCACAATCCATGAGACAATTCTACAAAGAATGTGACATCTACGGAACAGTTGATTTCATATTTGGTAACGCAGCAGCAGTCTTTCAAAATTGCAACTTATATGCTAGACAACCATTACCACGACAATTTAATCTTATAACTGCTCAAGGTCGAACTGACCCAAACCAAAACACTGGATTCTCAATCCAAAAATCCATGATTAGAGCCGCCGATGACTTAGCATCAAGCAATTTTACCGTCGAGACTTATTTAGGGAGGCCGTGGAAAGAATACTCTAGAACAATTTTTATGCAATCGTTCTTGGATAATTTGATTCAACCTCTTGGTTGGCATGAGTGGAATGGAAGTTTTGCACTTGGCACATTGTATTATGGTGAGTACAACAACACTGGACTAGGGTCTAATACTGTTAACCGTGTCACGTGGCCGGGGTACCATGTGATTATTCGGACCATGGCATCTTATTTTACCGTGTCTTACTTTATTGTGGGTGACTTTTGGTTGCCCTCTACCGGAGTACCTTATACCTTAGGTTTGTTTTAATTACTATGTATCTATATGTATATTTATACACAAAGGATGTGTATTACGAATATATGATTTCCATTTAAAAAAAAAAAACTGAAGGGAAAAAAAAATCAAAATTATAAAACAGAAATCAATTCTCTTAAGTCTTCATCATTAATGAGGTGTGCATGTTTTTGATATAAATATTTACTTTACATTTTTGTTTAATGAGTATGTTTAAATGTTATGAATTATAGCGCGTCTTGCATGCGGCTGGTCACCATGTGACTGCTTGTAAAAAAAACTAAATAACCCTTCTAATACTGACTGAGTAACCCCTATAACACTGATTGAGTAACCCCTACAACACTAACCAAGTAACCTCTGTAACACTGACAGAATAACCCATGTAACACTGATTGAGTAACCCCTATAACACTGACCTAGTAACCTCTGTAACACTGACAGAGTAACCCCTATAACACTGACAGAGTAACCCCTATAACACTGATTGAGTAACCCCTATAACATTGACCAAGTAACCCCTGTAATACTGAATGAGTAATCTCTAACCTAGTAACCCTCTGATGATTAACTACATATAGAAATGTGTGTATGAATTATTGTCAAACTTTTTTAATTTAATTTTTTAATATTTTATATTACAATAAAGTTAATAACTTTATACATTCATTTGTAAGGGTCCATTTGTACTCGTTACGAAAATTTTACGAGCCATAATGAAGTATATTGACTTATATTTTCGCATGTTATTGAATTATATTATTATATTATATTTTGCAGCAAAAATAAAGATATAAAAATCAGCTCAAGATCTATTTCAAGGTATAGAAAATCTAGCACCTACAATCAAAGTTTCTATAGGACAATACTTTCTGACAAAAATTTAAAAGCAAAATAGTTGCTTGCTCCTAATATTTTGCCAAAATTCATGGAACTATTTGTCTAATAAAAGAGGTTGATCAAAATAGCTGAAAAATTTTGAGGAGGAAAACTTTTGAAGAAAGCTAAGTTGGATTAATCCTAATTTGGAGAGTACAACCATTAATTAACCTGTTAATTAACTCCATTATGCTCTTAGAACCTCAAATATTATTAATAAAGTGAAAATTTAACCAACATTTAATTTCTTTTCATTTACTAATCACTTTCCATTTTTTCATGTTTATATTTATAACCAAATTATTTCTAACATTTTAGGGCCTCTCGTCTTCAATAGAGAGAGCCTTCCTTATTATTTTTCCAAATTGCAGCTCTCTTGTTAATGATTAAAAGGTTGTGATTAAGGTAAAATCGTTGATAATTATTAGTACTTGATAATTTAATATCGCGAATTAATGTCGCGAGTTGCAGTAATTACCTTGTCCTCCTTGCTCCTTGTTGGGCTGATTGCGTCCGTGACCTTTAGCTTCGTATCACATAATTGGGGTAAAAATAACAATCAAAAGTTGGCTGCTTCGTCTAAGGCGGTCCAAGCTATATGTAACCCTACGGACTATAAAGATGCATGTCTTAAAAGTCTAGCCACGGTCAGGACCGATGACCCTAAGGAGCTAATTAAGGCCGCATTTGTATCCGCTAAGGCCGAGTTGATTGATATTTCTAAAAACTCGATGGTCTTAAAAGAGCTCGAAAAGGATCCTAAGACGGCTGCAGCTGTTAAAGATTGTAAAGAGCTACTCCAAGACGCGATTGATGATTTCCAACGTTCATTCGATGAAATTTCAAAATCTGATATGACTCAAGCTAATAGTGCACTAGAAAACCTTAAGATATGGCTAAGTGCTACAAGAACGTACCAAGAGACGTGTCTAGATGGTTTCGAAAATACCACCGGGGATGCGAGTGTAAAGATGAGAAAGGTGTTGCAAACGGCCATGGAAATGTCTAGCAATGGACTTGCTATTGTTAATGACTTGTCGTCGTTGCTTAGCAGCCTCGACATTTCTTCGTTTAACAAAAGGAGATTATTATCAACTCAGGTGTAGTGACAAAACCATGTTATTAATTATGGAGAAAATTCAAGTTTATCACCAATTTGTTTATGAAATAGCAAAATTTTTAAATAAATCAACAACTTTCTAGTAAATTGGGACTCACAGTTGTTGATATAATTACAAAAATGTCATGTTGACTGGACATTTTTGTTGATTTATTTAGGATTTTGCCATTTGATGAACAAATTTTGTTTATCAAGGTGATAAACTGGGGCTCCCTCTTAAATAATTTGGCTTTTTGAGCATTCTTCAAATCATATATTACGCTCAATAATTTTTTTATATTTTCTTAAATGTGTCATGCTATTTAGGTGAATAGACGTCTCTTAAACGATGATGATGGGGGAGTCCTCCTCCAGGACAGCGAACAGGACCGAAGGAGAAGGCTTCTTACCACGGTTCCAATTGTAGGTCATCACAAGGGTGAAGTCTATCCCGAATGGGTAGATGGGTTTCGACGTAAGCTTTTGGAAGCCACGACCTTGGACGATGATTTGAAGGCGAGGGCAAATGTGGTGGTGGCTCAAGATGGGAGCGGAAAATATAAGACAATTGAAGAAGCCTTGAAGGAAGTTCCAAAGGAGGGAAAAGAGAGTTTTATCATTTACATTAAGGAAGGAGTTTATAATGAATATCTTGTACTTTTCAAATGGATGACTAATGTTGTAATGATTGGAGATGGCCCAACTAAGACAAGGATTACTAACAACAAGAACTTTGCTGATGGTACCAAAACATTTAAGACTGCTACTTTGTGTAAGTGTTCTAAACTCATGATTTCTTCACCCTTTTTTTAAATTTCCTTTGCCATAAATTGATTATTTGGCATAAAATGATAATAATAAAAAAAAAAGAATATTATTTGGTTAAAATGGATAGTTGAGATTATTTATTTTTAATTAATAATTTTAATTAAATATCATGTTTTAATTATTATATATATTTTTTATTTTCAGAATTTAAAAAATGGTAAAAATAATTTCTAGAAGATAAAAATATATTTAAAATAATTAAAAAATTATTTTTTATTAAAATTACTAATTACGAGTAAAAATAAATCAAAAAACAAATAATCTCAGCCGTCTATTTTTAAAAAATGGTGGTAGTCAAAAGTCATAAAACTACATTAGATACGCATAATACGAACTTATAGCTCAGTTTAAGAATAGAATTCAAACTAGGAACTAGAAATTGAGGACAAAAATGCATGAATAAGAGAAGATTGCTTCTTTAAATTTATTTTGTACAATGTACTTGGTATTAGTATTGAGTTATTGATTCTCCAACTAATAATTTGACATGATGCAATATAATGCAGCTGTTCTTGGAGATTTCTTCATGGCTAAGGACATTGGAGTTGAGAATACGGCAGGAGCAATTAAACATCAAGCTGTCGCATTTCGTGCACAAACAGATAAATCCATCTTCTTTAATTGTCACTTTGATGGATACCAAGATACTCTCTACGCTCACACCTACCGCCAATTCTACCGTGATTGTAGAATCACAGGAACAATCGATTTTATCTTTGGTGACGCGGCTGCATTTTTCCAAAATTGTACCTTTGTTGTTCGCAAACCACTTGAAAACCAAAATTGCATTGTAACAGCCCAAGGCCGAATGGAGAGGCATCAACCAACCGGAATAATTATTCATAGCAGTAAATTTGAATCCGACCCCGAATACTACCCTGTTCGAAATAAGAACAAGGCTTACCTAGGAAGACCTTGGAAGGAATTTTCAAAGACAATTATTATGGAGTCTCAAATTGATGATTTGATCCAACCTCAAGGATGGTTGCCTTGGGAAGGTAATTTCGCGCTTGATACTCTCTACTATGGTGAGTATAACAATGTTGGTGCTGGCGCGGGTTTGGCTGATAGGGTTAAGTGGCGCGGTGTTAAGACTATTGTTTATGATCGCGCTAAGAAGTTCATGCCACCAACACTCTTTTACAATGATGATTGGATTATAGCTTCTGGTATACCTTATCAACCAACCTTGTCTAGTGCAGCTGGTCCAACCTCAGGTAAATTAACTCTACTAAGGAACTATATATCACAATGTATACATGTAAAATCACAACTATCACAAAGTATACGTACAAAATTTAACCTAAGGAAATGCATGAACGAAATTAAAATTGAAGATAATAAAACGTAGTGATAGTTTTATTTTTCTTGGGAAAACATTAGTATAATTGGTTTTACCTTTGTATCATATACCATTGTGTTTGGAAATACAAAAAAATATTCTTAGGTAAACCTAACTCTATGTACACCCGAGTGCATGTAAGATTTTTTTTTTTTTTTAACTAACAACTAAGCTATTGCAACTTCTATTTGTAAAGGCATAGATGAAGATCCAAATGCACCAGCAGGAGCACCATCCTCCTTCCCCTACGAATCTTCGTCAAGTAGTGGCACCACTTCTCATGGTGGATCATTATCTTCAAGTGGCTCTACTCCCTCAAAATCCACCCCATCAACTTCTGAAGGTTCATCAACACCAAGTGGCACTTCTTCCCCTGACACGTCTACGAAAAAATCTTCCCATGAATCTTCAACAAGCTCAAGTATCACTTCTTCCACTGGAACACCTTCCAAAGGATCATATTCATCTACTGAAGGAGGACGAGGAGGAGGAGGAGGAGGAGGAGGTGGTGCATTATCTTCTCAAGAAAGTGGGACAGATGATTCACCTACTACTACTACTACCACCACGGCCACAACCACCGCCACCGATGCACCTACACAGGCAACACCTCCGGAGGCGGAACTCACGACTCCAAGCCCAACACCAGCTACTAGCCCAACTTCCCCTTCATTTGGATTTCAATTCACAACCTTATTTATTCCGCCAATGTTTAGGCAAAAGAAGCCCAGTCCTCCAGCCTCTAGCCCAAGCCCAAGTGAAGTAAAGAAGTTGAATACTGGCCCATTAAAAATGGGTGAACTTGAAAGAGTGCTAATGTCAAATGAAGAAGTGGAGCTTGAAAGTGAACTCACTACTCCCAGCCCAACTCCTCCTCCTTTTGAAGCCCAATACACAACCCTCATCATTCCTCCAATGTTTAGGCAAAAGAGGCTTAGAGCTCCAGCCTCAAGCCCAAGCCCAAGCCCAATCCAAAAAAAAGCAAAGAAGTTGCCGCATATTGGCCCACTAAAAATGCGTGAACTTGAAAGAGTGTTAATGTCAGATGAAGAAATGGAGTTCGAAGATGAAGCAAGTAATGATGACATGTCAGGGAATGTTCCTGATGGTGATGAGCCAAGCCCAGCTAGGGTTGAACCCCCAAGCCCATCTACTTCACCAAGCAGTGTCGTCGTTAGCCCAAGTGTTAGTCCAACAACATCTACTAATGGGCCTAGCCCAAGTCCAAGTTCAGAGGAGGTGTCTGACTGGCTTCCACCTGCTTTGGCACCCGAACCCGGGCCCGTTGATGAAGCTGATAAAGAGCCTCCTATAACTAGTCCTAAACCTAAAACCAACTCTGGATCTAAGTCTAACATTGAGTTAAGTATGTTATTGAGTGGGGTAATTATGTGGGTTGCTCTAC